GTTGAAGCCCACAGGGACAAGGAGTGGAGTGAGTGTCACGAATGGGAAGGAAGCGCAGAGAGGATTAGAGGGGAGGGAAGGGGAGGCGAACAGACGGATTGGCTGAAATGAGGTAAAGAGTCAGAGAAGGGGGAGAAAGGTAGACATAAAGATGGGTTGATAGGAAGTAAAGCGACTGTTACGAGCGGTGAGGAGAGAGGTGTTGAGAGAGGGAGAGGCAGGTACTTCGGCAGATATTGTATATTCTAGTTTGTATTTACAAAGGGCGACACTGGTACTCGATTTTGAAGATAGAGCCACGATCTATCCTATTGTGCCGAGTTCATTCTCGCCCTCATACTCTCCCTCTCCATAGGTCTGCGTCACTACTGAGCAACCTAATGTTTGATGGCGAAGCCCTCGTTGGACGGGCATGTCCGATCATTCGACTGAACAATATGGAGCGAGCGAGTGATCGACCGTTAGTAACCAAGCAAGAGAAAGAGAGCGAGCGAGCGGGCGAGCGAGAGAGAGAGAGAGAGAGAGAGAGAGAGAGAGGGGCACCGGTTGACAGGGAGAAGGGTAGATTTTACGAGCGATGAAGTGGTGTAGACGGGAGGAGGCAGTCGGGATGCCAGACGTAATAGCTTGTTTCTCGAACGTGTGGATCTGCTTGATTTCGAACTCGTCCGGTTGTCCTCTCGCGTCCTGTCCAATGATTTGTGTGTGGGCGTGAAGCCCTGATTTTGATGGGAGCGATATATTTACGTAATGTATTGGTGAATATCTACATTATTATGTAGCGAAATGTAATATGTTGTGGCGACAGGTAATGTAGAAGCACGGAACGGATTATTACTGTTTTTCCTGTGTAAAGAAATCCGCAGAATGGGGTATTATTTGTTGGTTTGTGTTATTTTGTTTTTGAAGTTTTGTGTGATCGACGCGAAAGATCATTTTCTTATTTTGTTTTCACTTCAATGAAGTGTTCTGATCAAGAGATTCTTATCTTTTTATCTATGGAGCTAGGTGCTTATATCTTCAACGATGTGTGTAACGTATCTATGCTTTACCTCGTACAATCTTGCATTTGTAGATGTTTCATGTGAATGTGCATTTACATTATGAATGTACAAGTTCTGCCGCTAATCACCCAGTCCAACGACGGCGTTGTCGCTCTCATCAAAGGAAGGGTGTCTACTTATTAGCTGTTCCAGTCATTCCATGCCGGAGCGAGAATCGGGGGATTTCCGTGATACTGGCAGTAGGCTGTGTCGAGGGCTGTGGTGCTAATATGAATGATGCTGATGGTGATGCTGATGATCGTAATGTTGCCGATCGCGATGCCGATTATAGTAATCTCACGTTACTTTCGCATGTGTTGTGTGTGTGTGTGTGTGTGTGTGTTTGTGTGCTCTGTGTGTGTGTGTGTGTGTGTGTGTGTGCGTGTGTGTGTGTGTGTGTGTTCATTGGACTGGTGTTGTGTGTGTGTGTGTGTGTGTGAATTCGTGGTGTTTTTTTTTTTTTTTTTTTTTTTCCCCTCTTTCGTGGTGGTATTTATTAACGGCAGGTCCCAGATTTCGAAGCGCCTCCCTGAACAGTTCCGATTTACCCATGTTCGACGAGGTTAGGAGCTCGCACGGCTGCGCTGTTGATGTGTCATCAGCCTCCTTGCGGGAGTTGAGGAGCGGGAGTGGGAGTAGGCGGAAGAAACGTGAGCAGCGCCGCGAGTCCCTCTCTAGTGGCGTTGAGAGCGGCAGTGTTTCTCTGGCGGGGAGGAGGCCTCCGCCATTGCCACCGGGAAACCACACCGCAACGTCAGCGTCCGCAAGAAACGGGACTAAGGCGCGAACGGCAGGTAAAGAAGACGAATGGAGGGAGGTGGAAGAGGAGGGAGGTGGAGTGGTCGTGTCGGAGTCGGTTCAACCTGGGTTGAGCTACCGAGGCGAGGTGGCGGGTTTCGAGGACGACGACGACCGTTTCACTGTGAAGGCTTCTTCTCTTCTTCACGCTGGCCATCATCATGTCGGTTTGAAGTCCGGCTTACTTAGTCGTGTGAGGGTCTCTCCTGCTGGTAATGGGAGGGTTGGGAGTGCAAACGACAATGAAGAAGGCGAGGAAGAAGAGGGAGGTGAGGAGGTCGCCGACTGCAATGTTCTTTATGGGGACTGGACGCCGCCCCCGAAATCGCAACACAAAGACGTGTGCCACTTTCGGCGCCCGGAAGATGTGGACATGGAGCTGCCCCCTTTGCTGCGGCGAAAAACCTGGAAGCGTCGTCGCCCGGTTGTTGATGATCAGTCGTCCTCTCCTGACGTCGACGTGGAATACGAGGGGTCCGGTCTGATGACGAACTCCTCTTCTTCTTGTTCGTCTTTACATGATATGCGTTCTAAGGAGTTGGTAAGCGATGGCGGGAGAGATGGGGTGGAGGAGGAGGAGGAGGACAATAAGGCTGAGCGCGAGGAAGAAGGCGATCCGATGGAGTGTGTTGGCGACAGGGATGCGGAGGATGTTGTCCAGGGCATCTCTCTTCCTGCTGTCAAATGCCGCGATTCTTCCATGGTTACAGATTCGGCAGCGGACGCCAGTTCTGGAGATGTGCAGCAAAAAAGTAGAGAGGAGCGTGCTAAGTCCGAGCTCAGGGGATTTGAAGATGATTTCAGGATAAGGACTAATCTTGATTGGGTTTATTATTCCCAGCGAGGGGACGAGGAGGTGGAGGGAGACGAGGAGGTGGATGAGGACGTGGCTGAGGAGGGGTGCACACATGATGAAGTTTGCGAGATATTGAACCCATGTGCTTCCGTGCCTGAGAAGGTGGAGGAAAGGAAGAAGGAGAGAGGCGGTTTGGATCGTCAAGATGCCGGTGCAAAGGAGCAAGACCAAGACGTAAGACATATGGGAGACCAGGAAATCGAAAAGGCGGCCATTGGCATACACGATGGAGCGGGATTCGCAGACGATGAACCTAGGTCGCCACCAATCGCAAGGCCGATATGGAGTCCTCAGTCTCTTGAATGTCCCGACGCTCCGTACGCCAGGTGAGCAACCTTGTCCTCTCTTATTGACTGGCCATCGAATCAAATTACTCTTCGCGTCTGCGTGTTGCGGGAATGGCAAATTAGGGCATGCAGGCTACGAACTGATGACGCCGCCTTAGCTAGTATTTGACATAGTTCCCTTTTTTTTCACTTCGCAAAGGTCTAATGTAATGTCGACTTAATGGTTCCGATCCCTTTTTATATAATATTTTGACTTTGCGATCGGAACCATAGTTCACATAACATTAAAACTCTGCGGGAAAACTTTCGCGAACCGTAGAACTACGGTTGCGATCGAACTGTGTTTTTTTTTTTTTTTTTAGCCCGATGGACCACGGATCAGATATTATTTGACTAAGATCAAGTGTCCGATCGAACTGTGTTCTACGGGTTGGTCGCGGTAGCTTTTCGAGAAGACGGATACGTCAGAACTTTGCGTAAATCGAGAAATGGTAAATAAAAAAAAGGGAAAAAAGAAAAACTTTGCGCTTAACCACGCATGCATCGAATATGTGTGGAACGTTATCCTTGAAAGACGAAATGTAATGAACTTAGAAGAAAAGTGTGCGTGCGTTTTCTTCGCTTTCGACTTTTTTCGTTGCCCCTCCGTTGTTTCTCGTGCTCTCTGCTACTTTTTCGCGTTATCTTATTTTTTCCCTTTCCGCGAATGCACTCTCATTAGCTTATTGCAATTTTTTTGTACAAGCGTTATAACTGTTGTTTGGGATCTTCTCCTGTGTAATGCTCTTAAGGCGTAACCAACGCGCCAGCTGCTCGGCGCAGTCACGGAAGTATAGTGTGAACTGGTAATATGTTTTGTAGAAGAATGCAAAGCTTAGCTTCTCTTCCTCTGTCTCGCTCTCTTTCTCTGTCTCTCTCTGTTTCTCTGTCTTTCTCGCTGTTTCTCGCTTTCTCCCTGTCCTAGCTTTGGAAAACCTCAAACGGTGTCTGGCTCTCCTGGTTTAGGGCGTTGAAGCTTTAGGGTTTCACATGTTGACCTCAAGCACCGTGGCGAGAAAGAGCCCGCTCAGGTCCTGAAACGCGAGAATACGGGATGAATCTGCACGGCGCAAACAGTCAGGTGCATTATTTGCACAGTGACGGTGTAGATACACTTTGTGACTGTGATTTCGCATCTGATCTGGTCTGTTTTCCCTCCTTCACCCTATCCTCTTCCAGTCAGGTGCATTATTTGCACAGTGACGGTGCAGATACACTTTGTGACTGTGATTTCGCATCTGATCTGGTCTGGTTTCCCTCCATAACCCTATCCTCTTCACGCTAATAGAACGCCCGGTCAATATCACTGTATCTGGCCCGCAACTTGGCCCAGCTATAATGACCGGGCGTTCTATTCGGGTGAAGACGGTAGTTGCGGTGGTATGGGAAAGCTGTCTTACATGTTGAATGGGTTGCATGCCTCGATTTCGAGTTTGGTTCTCCGGTCCGTCATTGTCTGACAGAGATTCTCACCAGCCGTCGAAAGCTCATCCATTTGAGCTTTTACATCGTATTGTGTTTATGAGCTCTGCGCAAATGCTGGTTCAAGGTTATGGACACTGGTTTGCTATAGAAAGCTGTGTGTCTAAGTGTGCCTGTTCAAACGAGATGCTGCTTCAGGCTCGCAATTACGTTCTCCCCGAACGGCCTTATTCTCTAGTGTTTTCGCCAAAGCGCCAGCAGAAAATGTGGTGCTGCGAATCGCGTGCTGATATCTACGTCTGAAACTCATCTGTTGTAGATTACGTGCTGATGTCGACGTGGTGAAGCTCTCAGCCGTTGTAGATTGCATGCTGATATTTATGTGCGAAAATAATCCGATGGGGATTACGTGCTGATATCCGATATCGATGTTGGAGGTCATCCGTCTAAGCGAAGAGTGTTGTTTGCTTGGTTGGCGTGCGTGCTGATGGTGGCTTGTACAGGCGTAAGCGAACATCAATCGGAGGGAGCGTAGAGCTTGCACGGCAGAGCAGTCTCACAGACACGAAGCTGGTGCTGACGACTCATCTGAAGCGGAATGCTAGCAGTTTCTTTTACGATAAACATTTCGAGTATTTGCATGAAATCGGGCGTGGGTCCTTCAGCACTGTAAGTCCGTGATCTGTGTGGTTATGCTGTGCCCTTGCCGAGAGAGAGAGAGAGAGAGAGTACTGAGAACCATGAGTTGCGCTGTTTGGAGAGCGAGCGGGTGATGCGGGGAGTGAATATCTTGTTTCTATGGCAAGGCGGTTTCGATCGTGCAGTCGTTGGCAGGGTAAATCCATGTCCGGGGAGCGGGGTTGGCGGGGATGTGGGGATGATGTGGGGAGTGCTTTTTCTCGTGTGTGAGAGAGGAGAAAGGACGTAGAGCAGGGCGAGTAGGAGAGGAGAGTGTGAGGGTGGAGAAGCTAGAGAGGGAAGAGATGAGAGAAGAGGGGAGCACCGGAATAGAGTTAGTGCAGAGGGAGAGGGAGAGGGCAAATGGAACGAGACTGAAATAGTTGGGGAGAGGAATAGAGAGGGGAGAGGGAGTATATGGCAGGTGAGCGGCCTTTCTGGTGTTTGCGTGTGTTCACACAGCGAAAGGGGAGTATGGCAGGTGAGCGGCCATTTTGGTGTTTGCGTGTTTAGAGGGGAGAGGAGGGGATATGGCAGGTGAGCGGCCTTTTTGGTATTTGCGTGTGTTCACACACACACACAGAGAGAGAGAGAGAGAGAGGGGGGGGGGGGGGGGGGGGAAGAATGCTTTGAGTGTGGAATTACATGAGGATGTGAATGACATATCTTTGGATTGTTTGTGCCTAGATCAGAAGTTCATGCTGGGGGACCTCAAGAGACCCCAAAACAAATCCTTCATTCGTCTGGCGCCCACCTCTCCACTGTAGTTTACTGTCTGGCTTCCTGCTGAGGTTTGATGATCGCGAATGAATCGAGGGAGGATTGTTGAAGAACGGCCTATTTTTTAATGAGAACTTACATGCCAAGTGCTGATGCGTGTTACTGGAATGCATTGTGGTGATATCAGGTGTATGAGGCACGTGACCTGAGAAGTAGAGGTGTTTGCGCTGTTAAGAAAAGCAAAAGGCAGTTTAGGGGGAAGGAAGACAGGGAGCGGTATGTGAGAGAGATTCAAAGTGTTGCGGCCTTGGCAGAGCACCCGAATGTTGTCAAGTATTTCCGAGGATGGCAGCAGGTGAGTCTTTTTGCTTTTGGTGCCTGTTCTGATCGCCAGTCCCTTTGCCAGTCCCTTCGCCAACCCCCCACGTCTTTTATGATGCCCTTGTTATTATACTGGACATAACTTTGTCAATTCTTCGGGCATCGGAAGAGAAGCGAGAGCGTTTGACGTTTTTGTCCTAACGCTGCATCTGCCTACACAACCATATGACGTGAAAGGCAGCATGCAGGGATTTTAAAACGACCTCTCAAACGACCTCTTAAACGACCTCTCAAACGACCTATCAAGTCGTTTTAACTATTCTGGGTACCCGATTCGTATGGATTTTACAGTATTGCTGGCGGGAATGTGTAAGTATAGATGTATAGGCATGCATTGTTTAATCGATCTATCGTGCCAGTGAAGTCTCGAAGAGAGTCTACTTACCTACCTGGACGTTTTTTGAAGGTATCATTCTCTGTACCCCAGTGCTCAGCAGCTGTCTGGGAAGGGTACAAATTGGCGTAGAAGTTTATGCCCGATGACTTATGCCTCCACAGGTAATGGTGGAATACAATCACATTGAACGTAAAAAGTATTTGTTGAGGGGAACAAGTTGTTTGTGAGATACAAGGGGCGGAAAAAGAATGCTGGAAAATTTGTGCGTAGCTTGATTCCTCTTTGAAAAGTTTGCTCCGTCGTCAGAATCAATCCTTGCCCTCTGAGAGTACACGAGCGGTCTGGTTAAACAATCCGATGGATTTCGCTATGCATTGGCGTGTTTTGGATGTGTAGCATGCTGTCTGCACTTGTAGGATGCCGAATATACTCTGTGCGTATCACAGTTTTGTGTGAGTTTGATCATCAGACACGTCCGATGTATTGCTGAGCTACTAAGGGAGTTTTTTTTTTTTTTTTATAGCTTTTTCACCGTCAAATTTGTGGTTGTTTTGAAGACGAAATGTGGTGAAATTACTGATGTTGTGAACTTTATGCCTTGCCTGGTTGGCCAGCTGCTAAGCGTGAACATACTTGTTCCTGTGAGTGTTTGCGTGCTTGTGTGAAGCAGTCCTTACATCTTAGTCTGCGTGCTTGTTTGATTGTGTGTGGTGTCTATGTTTGTAGGATTCTTACTTCTATATTCAAATGGAGCTCTGCGAAGGAGGAAGCTTGAGAGATCATCTGGACAGTGTGACAGGTCTGATCCCGGAGGAGAAGGTCTGGAGTTGGATCCGGCAAGTCGCTTCTGGACTGGCACATATTCACAAGAACGGAGTCTTGCATTTGGACATTAAGCCAGACAACATTTTCATTGACAGCCAAGGTGATTCACTAGGATTTTCTGTGACAGCAGCAGCCCTGCACCAGGCACTGGAATGTAATGTAAAATTAATATAATTGAATTAAGGAAGGGATCTGAGTGTCTGGGAAGAGCAGGCTATGCTATGTGAGTGCTTATTATGGGACCTAATTTGCTGCTATTGTTTTTTTGGGGGGCTAATGGCTTTGTTGCCATTGTGGCCAGCGTCAGTTGATATACTTCTTTATCGAACTCATGTGGTTTTCGCTGGCTGAGAGCTTGTCTGCAGAATCTAGGTATGGTGAATGGAAGGTGGTTGATCTATCGTATTGCCAGTGTCTGCAGATATGTTTGTGTCTATTGTTGGGAGCCCAGTCTGAAGAGTACGTGTTGTATTACGATGATGGTGTCCCTTTTTTTTCTGAGGGAAGTGTAGAAAATGCTGTTCAGGTAGGGTGTCGGTATATCCTTCACCCAATTTGTACTGGTTAACACGTTGGATGGATCTTTCATGCTCTGCATAGTGTAATGTTGCAGGTCTTTAATTTGCAGCTGATCGTCTTGGCTTGTGTGGGTGATGGTGATGGCTCTTGTGATGCAGGCACGCTCAAGATCGGTGACTTTGGTCTAGCAGTCTTCGGAACAGATGGGGATTGGGAGGAAGGCGATGGAGCATATGTTGCCCCTGAGCTCCTCCGAGGGAAGAAGCCTGGACCAGAGGTGAGTGACTGCTCGATGGAATGGTACATTATCATACGCAGGCGACATCAAGTGGGTGCAGGATTGTTTTTTTGTCCACCACCTTGGACCGCATAGATTGAGAGGCAGACTACATGGTTCAGTCAGTCGGTCCACCACCTTGCACCATATTGATTGAGAGGCGGATAGCATGGTCCAAGACTCTTGGACAGGTGCCGACTGCATCCAGCCTCAGTTTATACGTTTGAGGTTGGGCAGGACCGACTTCAGTTACGTCTAGACGTCAGTCGAAAAGTTGTAGTTGGAGTATTCTCTTATTCAGCATTTGGTCATTCACTTGTAGACTTGGATTACGCAGGGTGGGTGCTGGTTCACCGTGCTGGCCCAGAGGGTGAGGCAGTAGTGAGATCTTCTGGTCTCTTTATTGTTTGACTGTGTTGTGGATATATGTTACTGGACCGTATACGTGGTGGTAATTATTGCTACCGTCTTCCCCTGAACACAACGCGCCCTCATTATGACTGGATCCAACCGGAAAGATGGCTTGTATACGTTCAGAATCAGGGTGCGTTATGTTTGGGGGAAGATGGTAGGGTTCTCCTGTCATGTGCTACCTTTTCTTAGAACAAAGTAGTCTGTGGCACGCAAGGCGCAGCTTGTATGTTGTCTAAGAGAAGCACGGAATCCGTCCGTGGGAGGTAGTAGTGTTGATTTTCAGTGCTCGATATTGTTTGTCACTGTTATATGTTACTCGAACGTCTATGTGTTGATCATTGCTATGGTTTTCCTGTCAGGCACTACCTTTCTTCAAACACCAGTATGCCATAGCGCAGAGGGTGCCAGCTTATATGTGGTTTAATGAAAAGCAGGGGATCCCTCCTTGCAGCCGAAGGATGACCGAAGGGTATTATCTTGTGTTTCTGCATGAATTATCATCTGCACACCGTTTTCCCTTTCCGGTGTTTCCATAGGATTCTTGATTCTTAATTATTTACAGATTGTGCGGGCGTGTTGTGCCCTACATGACCATTCTGCAGCAACGGGGTACAGCTTGTATGTAGTTGGCGTGCAGAAAATCCCTCTTCGTAGATGAAGAATATTAGTTGTGTTCTGTTTTGATGTTTAGCAGCTCACCTTTTCCCCTTTTTGGCTGGAACTTAAGTGTTGTTTTCACTGTGTTATTCCTGCAGGCGGATATGTATAGCTTTGGAGCAATGGTCTTTGAATGGGCATCTGGTGAAAGGCTTCCGAGGTATGGCTGGTACCGATCGATTGACCAGCAGATTACAAGTGTTTAACTGGAGCTTGGGTTTGTGTTTCTCATATAGGTATCTCTTTTTTTGTCCTGTCTGACAAGACCAGATGGCACGAAAGGCAAAGATATTTTCCTTCTCTGAGCAGAATGCCTGTTGGGGGCCAGGTTTGCAGTCGAAACCGTTTGTGATGACTTACCGTTTTGGATTGGGAAAGTATGCTCTCGAATGCGATCGCCATTTCTCTGTGGCGTTGGGCAACTTCCGTGTCTATGTTTCTTGTCATAGAAAAATATTTCTCCTATTCCAGGAGCTATAGGCCAGGTTATACAGTTAGCAGTCAGAGGTCGAAGCACCATTTGCTTTTTTCCCCCCATTGGAAGACCAACTGGCAGGTATACCCCAGAAGCAAAGGATAGCCTGTCATGTTTTGAGATGTTTTCTCAGTTTTATCTGGGTGAAAACTTACCCTTCTTTGGAACTTCAGTCACAGGAGCATGATTGGAAGAACTGGTAGGAACCCTGCTGTTGAGCTTGGTCACTGTTTGACTCAGTGAAATGACTTGAGCTGTGTACAATTAAGGGTTTTTGACATAACCCAAAAAAAACCCTGTAGTTAAGCAGCACACTAGAAAGCAAAACGTAAATAAAGTCGATGAGCTTCCCCGATCATTTTTGTTGTTTCAGAAATAAATTGCCCTATTCCAGGCTATTCGTCTTTTCCATTTTACTACCTCTGAGTCTGCACTTTAGTTTGGCACCCTTGAACGCAGCAGAGAAATCTTTTCTTTTCTTCTCTTTTTTTTTCTTTTTTTTTTTTCCTTTGAAGAACCAGTCTTGCTGCTAGGGAGGGTGATACGAGCACACCCCCCTAGCAGTCATCCTGGATGCTCCAGTCTATTGGTGGGGAGCCGCACCTGCTGGAAACGGGGTACAGCGTCCAGGGTTGTCACGCGGGGGCCCCCGGGGGCAAAGCCGGGGTAGGGGGTTTGACACCCGGACCCCCGCCTTGGGGGCCTCACCCCC